GAGCTGGCCTGCTGTCGGGATGTTCAGTCGCGGGGAGCTCGATTCTGGTTCGCGTGGAGGGGCGACGCGGCGGAGCTGAGCTGGGGCTGGTCTGGTCGGCGTCGTGGAGGGCGGACAGAGGTCAGTTTTGAGCTGCGGCCGCCGGAGATGGTGGTGACGGGATGAGCTGAGGGCTGGACGGGCTTGCTGCGGGCTTGAGCTGTGGGTTTGGTGCGAAAAAGGGTTGCTTGGTTCTGGTCGGAATTTGAGCTGCGGGTGGCCGGATCTTGGGTATTGAAAATGGGGGAGAAGATGAATAGTTGTGTGCTAGAGTTTTATGTTGGGTGTTGGGGAACATGGGGGCAAGATCTATTTATAGAAGTAGTAGGAGACTAGGGTTTTGTAGGAATTGGGCTTAAAAATCGGGCCTAATAGATTGGGCTCGATTTTAACAACTTGGGCTCGGATAAATAATTGCTACTAGGCTCGATTATAAAATACTACTTGGGCTTAATAATAAATAAATTATGCAATTAATATTAATAATTCTCCGCATAATTAAAATAATACTAAATCCGATAAATAAGTCGAGCTATTAATATAAATTTTGTCTGGGGTGTTACATACTGTAATTGCAATCAACATGACAAAAAACCATGCAGCCAATACCAGTATATAAAATGTCCTTCACAATAGCATCATAAAACCAGTATATAAAATATCCTTCAAACATGTCCGTGAATGTGAAAACCATGCAGCCAATACCAGAATCATGATAAACATACAAAGCTAGTTATAAACACATCAATCTTCAGGACACAAAGCTAAATATTTTTTACGATTATAAACATACAAACCTAGTTATAAACACATCAATCTTCAGGACACGAAGCTAAATTATTTTACGATTATATCAGTAATATATTTTGCCTCGAGTTAGTTATAAACATTGCACATTACCTTTAACCACGGGAACCAAACGTTATCCTCGCACGAAAAATTTTTAGTCACCTCATTCCACCCGAACCCTGAAGTTCTTTTTATGAGTGCCATACTCATGTAGTTCTTCCTCCAGACCAAATTTTTGGAGCTAATGTGTGGGTCAACTCGAAGGGTACAGTCTGGATACTTCACCTTCAATCTTTTCTCTATCTCAAAATTATATCCTTGCCTAAAGCCATTATCTGTCTTCCAACCCTCGAGAACCATATCCTTCAGGATATCTATCAGGGCACGCTCCTCGCGCGGGCTCCAAACACGTCGTCTTGATGTGTTGGAGGAGGAAGCCCGGCCACTCTCTTGTGAACAAGAGTAATCCATTAGTAAACCTGTTCAAACAAGAGTTTCACAAGAGATGATTGGTTTAATTAACATAAACATTGCATGAGAAATATGCGTGTCAATTGGGAAATGAATGCCCAATATGAAGTCCAGACGCATTCCACTAAAATGTAAAAACAATACTCGTTTCAATCGATAAAAAGAATCCAAAAACCATATATGTCGAAAATGTCAAACAAGCAATGGTCCAAAAAAAGTAGACAACTGAACGATTATCACATATTCAAACAACATTTGTTAAACTAAATCATATTATCTTGTCAATTACGAAACATATCTTGTGCCAATCGGTCACGAAACTCCGTCCATTCTACGCTACCCTCCACCTGGTCTATCAAATCATCATCATTCGTATCTGTGGGGGCTCCATCATCTGGTACTTCAGGAACTAAGGCTTCCATGGGATCAGTGGCCATTGATGTACGTATGAAATTGTGAAGGAGCGCGCATGCCATGATAATGCGATTTTGGGTTCGAATGGAATAATATGAGCAACTCCTAAGAATTGCCCACCGCATCTTCAGAATACCGAACGCACGTTCTATTACATTTCTAGCCTTAGCATGTCGAAGGTTGTACAGTTCTCTAAAGTTTCGTGGCCTTCGTGACCCTGTACCCCATTCTTGTAAGTGGTATCTGACACCCCTATATGGTGTTAAAAACCCGGGACCATTTGTGTATCCACCATCCACCAAAAAATAATTTCCTGTGTCAAAATGTCGCTTATTAAACATAAGGCAGATCTTGTGTTATGTTTAATTTAAAAGAAAGTTGTTATGTAGAATGTGAAATAAAGGCAGATGGTGTTTAGGTGGTTGAATCATTAGATACCGGTTGGAACACGTAGTGCATGCGTCCTAGTAATTTCATCACGCAAGACGCGACTATCTGAAGCTGACCCCTCCCATCCACATAGCATGTAGACGAAGTTAATATTTTTATCGCAGACCCCAAGTACATTGACAGATATATCACCCTTACGGGTTCTATATCGTGCCTTGTCCGACAAAGGGACTCGCACGTCAATGTACGTTCCGTCTAGTGCTCCTAGACATCCCTAACCAAAGACAAGTACCAAACGATTAGTAGTTCGAGATCATTCAACTAACAAATTTGTAACACGTAGTGAAATGTGTTGTAGGTTACCTTGAACCATTTCCACCTTGCATCGACGCAATCCGCCTCAACTGCTTGCGGTTTCACTGCTAGGACGGAGTGAAGTCGAATGACAGCATCAAGAACACGATTAAAGTATTTGCTTATTGTTCGACCGGATCTCACAAAATCAAGCTTTAGTGTCACATTCTTCTTATGATGGGCAAGAACTGAGAGGAAAATTGCGACTTGTTCTCTTGGTGGAACATTTCTAGATTGTCTAAGTCCCCCAATGGTTTCAAGAAGGTGACAAAGACGGCAAAAAGAGTTACGATCCATACGGAGGTTCTCTACACAAGTTGTGTCGCTCACATCTATCAACCTTCGCATGTAAGTGATATGGTGGGGGAGTCTATCACTAGCTCGATATAACAAGACGTGCTCACTTGAAGCACGTCGACGTCTTCGCCTAGGGCGGATGAATTTAACATAGTAATAAATAGATAGTAGCAAAAACAGTTGAATACTACTAATGACCTCTTCCAATATGGCAATAACAGCTAATTCATCCGCAACAGAATCCACTTACAAATTTGGATCCACGAACCTCATTCAAATACTATAAATAATAAGCTAACAACAACAAATAGACTTTTCTTCCCCAGAAACAAGTTCAAAGATAAAATCTGCCAAAACAGATATATGTAATATGTAACAAGCAAATGTAAGTGAATAATCCTCAAATTATGAGGATGTACACTCATGTTTATTTCACATGATTCAACAATTCATTAATTTCCAGATTGCTACCAAAAAAATTAAAAAAAAAAAAAACAGAAATAAGCAAGCATTATACAAATTATACTCAATTATGCAAAACAAGAACAATTATAAACTAACACTGCACATGAGCATGAAGGTTTTTTAAATTTTATTTGAAAGCTTTGGCATTTTGTAAAACCAGCACTAGTCAGCTTATTAAATCAAATATTATCATAAGAACATCTTTTGAGTTTTCATTTCTCATACTCTTAATTCAAGGTCTTTCTTTCCCTTACCAGAACTGATGCAAAGAAACCAAGGGACACAAATAGTTCCCTTAAGTCCCTGAAGCCTGCTAGTTTTTCATACTGAACGCAAGAACACGCATCGAGGCAGAAGTCGCATTGAATTTGTCGCATATATACACAGACCGAAAATGAATTAAAAAAGCAAACTTTCTTCAACAATTAATGAATTGAAAAGGCAAACTATGTTCAAAAAAAGGGAAAAAATGCAATCGTATATAATGGATCTGGCGACGAAGGAACAAAAAATTGATGCATAAATTGGTACAATCATGAACTCGAATTTGGTTTGGGCTATTTCTTGCCGGGATCTGTCGACCAAGAACAAGCGACACCTGCGAGTTCACAAGAGCATAAATTACAAGAACGACGAAGAAATCTACTCAAATTCGAAGGAGAAGCTAAAGTTAGGGAATTTACAGAGGAGCTGCTAGGGTTATCGAGTTCGAACTTTTGTTTCCACAATATTATAGTGAACCTTCCGTTATGAAAGAAAAAACGAATGTAAATTGAAAACTATAAATTCATTTTTTTTTTCAGGTAATTTCGAAAAATCAAAAATAGAAAATAACTTACTAGAATAAGATACTCCCCGGTTCTTTCACTCGCCTCAACCTTATTGGTTCCACATGTGAAATTTTCTGCATCAGCTTGTTAACCATTGAGTTTGGGAAAATATTTTATTCCATCGTGTGTTAGTGACTGTTGTTCTATTTTAATGTTTATGTTTCTAAGCACCTTCGAACTGTTGTTCTATTTTAATGTTTATGTTTCTAATCAACTTCGAACTTTCGTATTTGTTTGCTCATTAATGTCATCTAGCTTCAATAATCGTTAGAGGTTATCTTCTATTGTGCTTTGCATTTGCATTTGCATCTGCATCTGTAGTGTTTGTTTAATATTACAAAGTCACTTTATGTGGTATGTGGTTTGTGTGTACCATATCGATCTCCAACCTTGATTGTGCTTGTTATGTTTTCCAAATCCTGTGCAGAAAACACATAATCCACGCAAACATTCGCAATACCAAAAGTGCACAACCAAAATAAACATTATCTCAAAATACAATACAAAAAAAGGCACAACCAAAAGGGCATAACCAAATCGTAGTGTTCATAAATACCAGACAAGCTAAAGAAATCCAACAAAAAAGAGTGTGCAACATCCATCACAAATCCACTACATTTTGACTTTAAATTTTATGATTTCCTCATGTGAGAGGAGACTGAAGATGCAAACATCACCTACACCAATGTCGTTGTTATCGATGAACTGTCGAGCACGCCCATTCTGAATGAGTTTTTTTCCCATGACCGTTAATTATATCGACATCATACGTGTCTTCGCCACACTGCAAAACTGCGGATTTGTAGTTCACGTACCGCCCTTGAATGAAATCCTTCCAAAACTGCATGGGGATTACCTAAAATAATATACACAATACAAAACCAGATGTTATACAATATGCAAAATGAACATTACAATTCAGGATATAAAATATACAATTCATGTAAGTTACTATTGAACGGAACAACATACCAGCCTTGCGCGCTCCACATGAGTTGGCTTAATTTTAAGAATGAACTGCGGCTGCCTCTCGCATCCGTTAAGCTGCATCACCCACACTTGAAAGTCAAATATCGTCCTGGGATGGAAAACCAGGATGCAGCCTATGGATAAGTCTTCCGACTGAATGAACTCTCTCCACCCATCCACTAATGTGGGGTAGTTGTTTACAATAGTCAAAGTCGTCTCGTACTTACGACCCTCAATGGTCTGAATACAGAACCTCTGTAGAAACACGACACCACGGTAATGGCGGTGTGTGGCTGGAGGCAGTGTCTGGAGTCATACATTTTGGAAAAGACAATTACAAAAAATGTGAATTTCAAAGAAATAACAATGCAAAAGTAAAACAAACATACCATCGTATTGGACGTGAGAGAGACAACAACCTTGAAAAAGTAAGGACCATCAACAGCAGCACTATCAAAATCCATGTTGTCCATCCTTTATATGTTGTCTCAAGATTTTGAAAAACATAATAAATGAGAATCGCGTAATACAACCTCATCACATTTTAAATGCACTTATACAAAAACATGATCATAACCAAAACAGTAAAACCGAGAAGATAATTATCTGGACGGTTATAACCAAATCAGTAAAACAAACAGTAGAGTGACATTTACTCGTACTAGTCTTCCACCTGACAATGGGCAAACTAAGATGTTTGTAAGTCTACCATACATGTTGTTTATATAACAATTGTTTTCTTCTTTCTGTAGAAAGAGTCAAAGTAGCCAGACACATATGTGTCAAGACAAGTGTGGACAATTGTGGACAAGATCTAAGTAAATCAGCAAATAGGACAATTGTGCACAAGATCTTATTTTCAAGTAATACCACTTTCACAAATTCAGAAAACAAAATGGATAAACATCATTGGTATTTGGAAAAATCACCTACATCAATAACTAAATCACAGAAAATGGAAAAGGGAAAATCCAAATTGCACACAACAAGGGGATAAATAAACAGTTGGATATACACATGGATGATCATACACCCAAACTAACAGGAATATCATACACCCAAACTAACAGAAATAAAATTCCAAAAAATATGTAGGTCATACATATAAGTAGAACAAATCGAATAATTTACAACAACATATACAAAGAACACATGGAATATCACAACAATACATGGTAAAAAAATTAAACACGCAATACTTTTCATTACCATACCCAGAATCGTAAAATCCGGCGGAGGAGTTGAAGTCTGATTTCGCCGACGAAGACGACAGAATCGAGACCTGGAAAACAACGAAATTGGTTAACCCCTATCGCAAACATTAGAAACGACCCTAAAAAATATATATAGTGAGATCGATGACGATAACTTAAAAAAAAAATATATATGCGAAGAACACGAAGAATTCAGCAGAGAGTTTACGGGCGAAGAGGACGAGATTAGGGCTGACGAGGTGAGGTGAGACGAGGGTTTCGGACAATCGAATGCATATATTTGACGATATCTGTAATTTTGATAACATTGAGGGTGAAAATCGTCTTTTCAAGTGGAATAATGAGGTCAAAATGGGAAAGATAAAAAGGGGATTGTTTTGTCCGCCCAAAATGGGCGGACAATTTTAACATTGCACGTCAGATTTTTTTTCTAGGCCCACACTCCAAACGCGCGCCACGTATGCATAATCCGTATCCTAATCCGCACTAGTAAACAGATGATAAAGTTGGTTAACCAACCTTATCATATCGTGTCCGCGTTAGTAAACGAGGCCTAAGAAAAGTGAAAATGAAAAATACAAAGACATCATGATATGGCCCATGATTTTGTTTGGATTGGAATACACTTTTTTATTTGCAATCCAAAATCAAAAGCAACAAACAAATCCCCCCACTTTTTCTCCACAAATGCAATCGAATTAGGTTTTAACAATCACTTCCAATTCCCAAACAGAACACACAAAAAAAACGTTGAAGAAAATAATAAAAAAAAAAGCCCACAAATGCGAACGCCATGTTGCCATTCGTTCCTCGCCTTCATCCTCAAATTCCTGAATTTTCTGCAGGCATTTGTTGGCCTCGCCGTAATCGTGTACTCCGCTTACCTGCTCAATCAATGGCAACGCCACAATCACTCCCTTCCGCCGCCGGGAGCTCTCAATTTGGCGCTCGGTTTTGATGCCGGCTCTTTACCGGCACCTTGGTACTGACTGACCCTTCACTATTTTTCTTGTCTGTGTTGTTCTTGGGTGCTCATGATTTTTCTATGGACGTCAAATTTGGGTGCACCCTGTTGTGTTTTGTGATGGGTTGGAGCTGAAATTTGGCTGGGGGTGACAAAAGTTTCGATCTTTATGTTAGTTTGGTGATTACATTTTCCATATGTTTTATGGACAGGTTTATATATGCGTTTATGGGGATTGGGATTTTGGTATGTTGCATAACATTCATTGGCCACATTGCTGCAGAGGCTATCAATGGCTGCTGTCTTTGTTTTGTATCCTTTTTTCACATACCCTCTTTTTCTGCATCTTATGTGGAGAAGATGTCGATAAATCGATGAGAATGACAAATTATGTCAATTTTAGCTTTTTAATCCAATGGTGAAATTTATGGGAATCTCGTAATTTGGCTTAATATTTCTGATGATGTTTTTTTGCATCATTTATCCTTGACCACAAAAAAATCTTAGTATGCTATACTTGCTACCCTGTTTATTCTGTTGGAAGCTGGTTTGGTGGCTTTCATAGCTCTTGATCACAATTGGGAGAAGGTAGAGGTTTTGCTACTATTTTATGCTGATGCTCGTACATTTATCCCTGTACCGTCGTGACATCAGTTTTTCTTCAGGATATCCCATTTGATCCCACTGGAGAACTTGACAGAATACGAACATTTATAGAAGACAATATTGATGTCTTTATGTGGGTTGGCATTGCCATTGTTGTAATGCAGGCAGGTTTTTTACGTTTCCGTTTCGCGTTAGTTTTATATCTAACACCGCCCCAACTCCCCTAAACAGAAAAGAAAACGAAAGAAAGAAAGAAAAAAAAAAAAAGAAAAGATAAATTCGGTGAGCTGCACTTCTACATTTTTTTCAATATGAAATTGGCGTGGCTCTTCAGTTGACGTTGAGATAACTCCCAACTTGTTTAAAGGAATGTAAAGATTTTAATAGATAATATTAATAACCAAAAAAGACTGTCAGAACTACTTGCTTTCAAGAGTGATCTGTGGTCTCTAGTGGTTAATTTTCTGATTAATTAAGTTGTCACCATGAGGTAATATTTCACTGGTTAGTCGTTCTTCTTTTTGCATTATTTGCTCGTCCTTTACCAATGCTATAAGAACTATACAACTTCTAGGTCTTCATGTGAACTATATTTACATCCTAGAACTGAAATTTTTCTTTACAGGTTTTATCCCTACTTTTTGCATTGATATTGAGATCCTTAATTTCTGTTCGGCAAGAGGATGATGACATTGAGGGAGACTATGATTACAGAAGTAATAGCCGAGAACCACTCCTTCCTCCTTATTCGAGCCAAGCATCTGTTTCAGCTAGAGGTGACTCTGATATATGGAGTTCAAGAATGAGAGAGAAGGTTTGTGTTTGATCGTTTTTAAACAAACATGCTTTTGCAGCAATCACATGGATCGAATCCTGTATTATGAATTACTCTTTCTTTATTTGTTCATTCACTCATTCATTCATTTGTTTCTAGCATCATAATCACTTGAAGCCTGTTAAACTGACTTTTATCTGAGTTTTAGCAATTTACACCGATTGTGAAAGCTAGATAGAAAATGGGTGAATGTTGTGTTGTGTCTACCAATATCATCGACATGATTGATAGGCTTGATTGACAAATGACCAAAATGGCCACACATCAAAGAGTTGTAAATTTATGTGCTTGGCTATTAGCTTATATGAACGAACGAGTCATGTAAAGCTTTCCAAGTCTAGCCAGATGCTTCAAAGTAGGTGGACCCATCTTATTCAACTTTGCCCTTTTTCTGCTTGTCTGATTCTCCTTAGCGGTTATATGAACTTTTGCTATTGTCTTAACTTTTACAACATCAGTGTGAGTAATGAAGTTTGTTTGCATAGTCCTAGAATTTATATCAGATATTTTGCTCTGTATATATGTTGCAGAGAAGTGAGAGAATGATAACCTGTGGTCTTCTTCGTTTGATGTCTAATTGATCAGTGCAACACACCCTTTGTAAATTTTACGACTGTTATTTGATCTTATTTATCTATTGAAACAACTCTTGTATATTTATCCCTTATTGCAGTATGGTCTGAACAATGGCGAAACAAAAAGCAGTTTACTAAACCAGAATCCATCAAGCGATGCTAAACCTTGAAGATACTTAGTACGAGAAGTGTGTCTCTCTCTCGAAACTGCGTGTTTGTG